TTCACTTAAATGATCAATTGTGCGTATTGCACAATGGCAGGTCAAGCTTAAAGCAAGTTGCAACTCTGCTGCTTTAACTGTATCATTACTTTGCCTAGGAGTTATTGTTGTAATAAGCTGTGACTGGCTTTTTGACGGAGTTTTCATCCTGTTTTTCGGATTTTTCATGATTTGAAATGCTACTAATTCTTGGTGCAACCGTGCACTGACACAGTTTACAATATGCTGCCTCTGATCCGTCTGAAGATCTTTTGAGCCATGATTATGTTTTCTCCCAATTACTATTATTTTTGCGATTGCTGTCATAAGATGCTTTCCAATTTCCATTTTTTGGATGACGTGGCCATTGGTAAAAGTAATAAAATCTATCACAGATAGAACTAGGTCTATATCCTATCTATTTTCTGTCCTTAAGTAGTTTCTGAACAGTCTGAATCACTTGGTATCAGTGGTGTGTTTTCGTTTTATATCTTGCAATTATTCTAGTAAATTAACATAAATTACATAGATTTATAGCAGTCACGATCCGTTTAGGAAGACAACAAAACAATAAGAAATGGCGCGAATCTCCGTTAGTCCGTACCAGGACATCACAACAAAGTCAAACTGAAATAAAGATTTTAACTGTAGGTCTACATTGCTTTTAGTAAATTTGTGTGTTTATAACAGAGGAACTATGAAGGAAATGTGAGCACATCTTGACAAGAAATGCCAGGAAAAACCCAAATAAGCCAGTATATGCCAGTTCATTATCTTATGCCAGTTCAATTTCAAATATGCCAGATTTGTAGAATCTGGCATAAAAAATGCCAGTATGGCAACCCTGGTGAGCCACGTTGTCTGGCCGGGGAAACGTACTTACTCCAGGCCAAACTGAATATCTTTTTGTAATACCAAGAAAGATTGTTGCACCTAACGAAAAGTGTCACCTGTCAGGTTCACAATAACACAAACAACAAGTAAACGTTGTGTTTAGAAAGTCTTCATCAGCACACTTCATGACTCTGTAATATCCCAAGTACACACAATCATTTACTGTCAAATACAAATGCATTTCTACATTACTAGTGGTAACAGAGCCACACCATAAGGAAAAATATGGTAAGGTGGGAAA